CAGACATGTTTCAAGAAATTTATCTCAGTGAAGAGTTTTGCCTTTGGAAGCTCAGGTAATCTCTTTGGATTTACAGTTTCTTCATCTGAAAACTGAGGGTGTTCTGTGACAGCTAAAGTGCACCCCTTTTTAGAGAGAACAGATTTTATCTTATACAGCTCTCTGCTGCCACCTGCTGGAAAATTACAGCACCTATTCTATTGAGGAACCCCAGTCAGTCCCCTTGATCCTGTGGCTCATTTGCTTAGTAATTTCAGTCAATTAACAAAAATTGTAGTGTTCTGGGTTTTCAATTTGTAAAGAATTCTAAATAAGTCAAGCCTGCACTTTGGCCATCTGGAAATTAAATTTTTAGCAGCTTATCCCACGGGCGAGTATTAGTCATACTTGTCCCGTGTTTTGCAATGACCTGCCAAACTACTCACACGGAATTTCATTTAATTGCTGTTAGTGTCACATTCGTGAGGTCTGATAAGAATTATTTAACAGAACAAAACATTTCTTTTTCTTAAAGTATCTTTTTAAGATTTTGAAACATTTCATTTTTGTGTTTCGAGAAGACAAGGATACAATGGCTCATCTTACACACACACACACACACATACACACAACCTCGTATAAATGAACACATTTTTTTTAAATCTGACTGCTTTATGGCTAGAAAGTCTAGATTTTTAACTGGAAAACATTTTTTCTAAATTAAAGGCTAAGTGTTGGCCTTACTTTTTTTACATATAGTCTTTACTTTTTAGAGCAGTTTTAGGTTCACAGCAAAACTGAGTGCAAGGTACATAGATTCCCCCCTCATCACCCCTTGCCCCCCCCCACACACATGCACAACCTCCCCAGCATTAACATACCCCACCAGAGTATGATGAACCTATATAGATACATCATTGTCACCCAAAGTCCATAGTTTATGTTAGGGTTCACTTTTGGTGTACATTCTATGGGTTTTGACAAAAATATAATGAGATGTATCCAGCATTATAGTATCATACAAAATTGTTTCACTGCCTTAAAAACCCTCTGTGCGCTAGAGTCTGCCTGTTCATTCCTCCTTCCGCCAAAGCTCCTGGCAACCACTGAGCTTTTTACTGTCTCCATAGTATTGCCTTTTCACACATCATGTAGTTGAAACCATAACAGTATGTAGCCTTTTCAGATTGGCTTCTTTCACTTAGTAATATGCATTTCAAGTTCCTCCATGTCTTTTCACAGCTTCATAGGTCGTTTCTTGTTGGCATTGAGTAATATTCCACTGTCTGGATGTACCACAGTTCATTTAGCTAATCACCTACTGACAGACATCTTGGTTGCTTCCAAATTTTGGCAATTATGAAGAAAGCTGCTATAAATATCCATGTGCAGGTTTTTGTGTGGACATGTTTTCAACTCCTTTGCGTAAATGTTTTGTGAAAATCGCCAAACTGTCTTCCCAAACGGCTGGACTATTTTGCATTCCCACCAGCAATAAATGACCGTTCCTATGGCTCCACATCCTCACCAGCATTTGGTGCTATAGGTGTGTAATGGGATCTCACTGAAATTTGCATTTCCCTGATGACATCATGTGGAGCATCTTTTCAGATGCTTCTTTGCCATCTGTGTATTTTCTTTGGTGTGGTATCTGTTCAGGTCTTTTGCTCATTGTTTAAGTAGGTTGCTCATTTTCTTATAGTTGAGTTTTAAGAGGTTTTTTAAAATATATTTTAGATTACATCCCTTTATCAGATATGGGTGTGTTGTTGTTTTTTGCAGGTATTTGCTCCCAGTCATTGGCCTGAATTTTTAAAACAATTAAAATCACTTTCAAAAAATATAAAATAAAATAAAATCACTTTCCAGAGTTCCCAGCATAAAGCTAAAAGTTAAGCCCAAATATTTCAATCACAAAATATAAAATATGGGATTAAATGTATTGCTAGTTGGGGTTGAGCTGGCTCCAGAGGGTGGAAGCCAATAGCCAGGCCCTTTATATCTGACTCACATTTTCTCAGGGTTTTCTGGTAGAGCTGCCTGGAGACTGATGCTAAGGGGTAACAAAATCGGGACCCTACACCTTTCTAAACACTAATCCTGGGGCAGGACTTCTTTTGGCGAAAGATTGTGAGAGAAGGTGATACCCACTCACTGCTGTGCTATTGGTTCCTTCTGCCTCGGGATGTCCCAGACAGGCCTATGAACTGGCTTCAACATTTGAGTACATTTATTCATTACCATCTTTCAGTGTATGATGAGACTCGTTTAAAAACATCCAAAACTACTTTCCAAACCTTCGCCCTCTCTTTCATTTGTGGTACATTAATATGCAACATTGTATATTTTAAACGTTTTTCTAATAATACAAAAGAAAAACAATATTGCCGTGCAAAAATAACTACCGCTTTCATGTGAACAGTGCCATCCCATCTAGTATTTAACATGCTCCTGTATACATGTTTCTTTTAAAATAGTATAATACTGTACATATTATTTCATAGTAGGCTTTTTAATGTAGCACTTTTTTCAGACAAAATTTGCATGACCTAAATGTAATTTCTCAAACTGGCTTCGTGCTAAGATGCTGGAGCTGAAAACCTTGGGAAAGACGCTTACTCCTCGGACCTTGGTCTCCTTGTCTAAAAAGTGAAGCATTTCTTGCTATTCTCCTGCAAAGCCAATTTTTGGATGAAATCTTGTCACCATGTTGCATCCTAAGGACTCTATGTAACAACAGCTCTTAGTTCTGCATACCCTTTTAAATGTTTGTGCTAGTATATGTTTTTCCAACTGCCCTATCCAAATCACTTTATTTTTGCTAGCAATTTTTGTGATTCATCTGACTAGTCTTTAAAAATAAAGAAGAAAAAGAAAACATTTCAAGCTTATGTGACTTCATACTCTCCTGTTTTTCTCCAGGCCACTCTACTAAACACTCCTTTTCCATTTCTTCACCAAAAAAAAAGGACAAAAGAGAAGTTAAAAATAATTTATGGTTGGGCTTTACTCTAAGTATTCAAATACATAAGTGCATAAAAGTGTAGCATAGAAATCGCTATATTTCCATTCAATTCAAATCATTATGATTTAGTAGGAAGAAAAAGTAACAAATGTAGGGAACCAAAATAAAGCAACATCAATACAAGATAAGAAATATCTCAGAAGGATGGAATAGGATTTGGAAACTCTAAGGAAAGCAAACTAGAAAGTAAATTACTTTGTCTAAAGAAGGGAAGTTAGAAGTGGCTTTAATTCTTGTCTATTATATAAAAGACATGAGCCAGAGGTTGGGCCGCAGTTGCAACCTGTCTGTTCCTGGTCCCTGGCCCCTCAGCGGCATGACGTTGAAGGAGCTCCTGGAGTTCCATGGGTGCTGCTGATCCCGGTTACCCGAAGTGGGGCTGTGAACCTAAAACTGCTCTAAAAAGTAAAGTCTGTCTGTAAAAAGATTAAGGCCAGCACTTAGCTTTTGGGCAAGGCAATGATACAATCAATAACTAGAATTCTCATATAAATCCTTACAAGTAAAACAAGCTTAATAAATCGACAAATATTTTAAGTTAGTTAATTTAGAGTCTACCAGAAAATGTCTTCAGTTTCCACCTGCTGTTTCTGAATACAGAATTGGAAGGGGCCTATGCAAATAGAAGGCCCTAAAGCTTAAGATTCCATGCCTCGTGGTAGATCCATCTCTATCTGTTGTTCTTCTGCATGTAAACGATACAAAAGAGATACAAAGCATCTCAAGGAGTTTACTTTGTCCTTTAGGAGAGAGAGCATGCTGAAAGAAGAAACAAGCTTTATGGTGTGTGAATCTTCAAGGACCTGGTGGAAGATTTGTAAAGGAGGAAAGTCATTTCTGATGGACGCTTCAGCCCAAAGAGGTAGGAGTAAATCTGCTAAGGAGGAGACACTTCCCCACCTCCTCCCTTTCTTCCCCTCATTCCCGCTGAAGTAGCAGGTTTATTTCCTTAAGAAGAAACAGAATACCTACTAGTCTAGGGGTGACGGTGCTTGTGACCATGAGCCACTAGAAGGCAGAAACTATACATATCCTGCAGCTAACACTGAGTTTGGCAGAAAATAGGCATCAGACAAATGTAACAAATGAGTGAACACATAGGGGAGGAACAGAGAATAGAAGACATTGAAGAAATGTCAGAGGGATTTGAGTTTGATGTAGCTGGCAAGGCAAAATCACCACAGGTTCCTGAGATGGGAAATGACACAGTGGACCCGCAATACTTCTAAGGGACACATTGCTGAACTCAGCAGCATTTGTCACAGCTGACAACTCATTCTAGAAGCACTTCATTTCAGGCTTATGTGACTCCCTACTCTCCTGTTTTTCTCCAGGCTATTCCACTAAACACTCCTTTTCAATCTCTTTGAGACCTTGTCCTCCTTTTCCCAATTTCTGAATGTCAATGTCCCTCAAATGCAAAAAAACACAAAACCTCTTAAATGTATCCCTAGCTCCTTCCATTCCCTCCCCCACCCCATCTAACTCATCAGCAAATTCAGTTACTTCTGTGCCCAAAACATTTCAAACCAATGTCTCCAGGACCAACACCCTAGTCCTGCAAAAACATCCTAGCAGATCTCATCTCCTCTCCTACCTGCTTCATTCATTCTCCACATAAAAGCCATGAAATCTTTAAATGATGTAACTCTGATTCATATCACTCTTTGCTAAAACTTTTCTATGACTTTCTATGGCACTTTGGATGAAATCTAAATATCGCAACACTCAGGTTCTTTGTATCCACTAGGCATTTCATTCATGGCCTACTGCCTAGGGCCTAGGCCCACAGTGGTTCTCAACCTTCCTAATGCCGTAACCCTTTAATACAGTTCCTCATGTTGTGGTGACCCCCCAACCATAAAATTATTTTCGTTGCTACTTCATAACTGTAATTTTGCTACTGTTATGAATCATAATGTAAATATCTGATATGCTATATGTGTTTTTTCCAATGGTCGCGACCCACAGGTTGAGAACCGCTGGCCCTAGGGGCTGAGGTCTTGTCAAGTGCCTATAACAAGTATTTGAGACAGGAGGGGGTGGAGGAGGGGAAACGGACTCCAAAAAACTACAAAATCAAAATTAATAAATGTGTGTGACTACATAATATAACAATATGTCAACTAATCCTAAATTTTACTTCAACCTTTCTGTAGTTATTTGTATATTTTATTTTAATGAGGGATGTGGGTACATGGTATTTTGTTGAATATAATGTGGAGGAGGTCCTCCCAAACAGGACTACAGAGGGCCAACAGGGCTTCTAAAATGACCCTTTTAGGCCTTTAAGGTCCTGCATGTCCCCATCTGTGCCTGCGTCTCCATGATCTCCATGATGCCACTCTCCTACTTGCTCACTAAACTCAGCCAGCCAGCCTTGCAAATTCCTAAGCTGCACCAAAACCTTTCCCCGTGTCCCCTCCTCCCGCCCCCCAACACTCACCTTGACTGGCTCCTTCCCACCTATTCGTTTTCCACTTAGTAACCTCCTCAAGGGGACCCCCCTGAGCTGTCCATCTAAAGTAGGCACAGGTGCCCCCCTCACCACCTGTTCTGTCGCCTTCTTTCCTCCATAACATTGCTCTCCATCTGTAGTTTATTTTTTCTGTTTATTCTATCTTCCCATGATACTAATAAGCTCCATGAAGGCGAGAAACTTTGCCTTGTTCTCTGTTGTATCCTTAGGACCTACTCTAGTGACTGGTGCAGAGCAGGCCTCAATGAATAGCCGCTGAATTTGTGAATAATGAAGGAGAACTTCATCTTCGAGGGAGGAGGGCCAAGCCGGAAAGATTTGCCGTGGACTCCATCTTGGGAGGCTGAAGGCACTCATCTTCCTCTGATTCTAGGCCCCCAGATGGGTTTCAAAAGGAACATTTGGAGGTTTTCCCCCCGCAGTAGTTCTGATGAAAGCTCCTGTAACTTACCCTATTGGGGTGGGGCTGAGGGAAATTAAAAAATGGACTCAAAACTAGTTTGAAAGGGAAGGAAGTGGTTGAGGGCAGGTGGATGGCTCCCCAGGTTGGGCCACTTCCTTTGTCCCAGCCCCGCCCCCGGATTCTAACGGCTCCACCCCTTCCTGTCTTCCGCTGGGAGCCAGGGATGGCTTGGGCCCCGGGTTCCGGGTTCCGGCGCCAGGGCCCTCATCCTCGTTAATTATTCAAGATGGAGGAGGACACTAGGGGAGGCGCTCTTATTAATATTCATGAGGGGCGGGGCCTCCCTCCCGCTGGGGCTCCTGGGAGGATTCTAAAGTCTTCTCGAGGGCACTGGGGCTCCTGGGAGGCGCGACCCGCAGCGCCGGAGCGGATCCGAGCCGGATCTCTCTTCCCGGCCGGAAAACCTCGAGGAGATTTTTTCTTAAAAAACTTTAAGAAATTTGAGGATGGTGGGGCACAACGACTAACTCCCATCTTCCTGTGATTCTTTAGCCGGAAAACGGTCAAATTCTGTGGTAAAAAGAGATTTGTTTCCCCCGTCTTTTCTTGAGGTAGTTTCCCTCTCCTGACGGACTGAAGCGGGTGAGAGATGCACCCGGTGCGGCGTGGTCCGTGGGCCGCCGGTTTCTCTCGCGTGGCCTCTAGTTGGCCGCGTTGGAGGTGTTCGGGGCTCATCCCCGGGGAGACGGGGTGCGTCTCTTCAGAAGGTTTTCTGAGGGTCGAACAAAATCGAAAGCCCGGCGAATCGCTGTGGGACGACTTTCCCCGAAAGGCAGGAAAAAGTTCCGCCAAGAGGGCGCTCCAAGCCTTTGGCAAACAGTCGGGCTGGGCCGAGGGCACGGAACCGGTGCTGCTCTTGTTTCGGGGTGTGGCTCTCGCTCCCCAGAGGGGCCAGAGGAACCCAGGAACAAGCTGGAGGGACACCTGGTAGCTTTTTCAGAAAAGTCCTACTCGTTCAGGTCTGAGTGAGAGGAGACCCGGTGGTGAGAAGAGGCTTTGGTTTCGGAAGGCCCCGGGCTCGGTGCTTCCACCCGCTGACGCCCCGAATGCCCCCGCGAGGCGCGATATTTATATTCCAACATCGTGAATCTGAGGCGCCCACAGGCCCACCCTCCTCCCTCCTCCCAAGGCCCGCAGAGAAGCGACCCCGGGCCCGATTTGTCTGGATAATAAGCGAAAATGCTTTAAAATGCCCCCTGGGAGGGAAAACCAGCACCACCCCCTCGGGGTGAAGGAACTGACTCTTCCACTGGGTGGATCACAGGCAGCCCTTAGATCTGTTCCCTGTGGACGTGCATCTATGGGCATGGGAAGAAATGACCACTTTAATTACAATTTTAAAAAGATTACAAAATAGTATGAAGAGTGATTCCCCCCCCCCTTTTTTTTATAAAGAAATATATACGTGAGGTTCTGGGATGATATAAACCAAAGCGTTCAGAAGCAGATTGAATCTGGTTTTGTCTCTCCGCGTG